TGCTCCTGCTGCTGCTCCTTGCTGCTCCTGCTACTACTGCTGCTGCTGCTGCTGCTACTACTACTACTACTAGTACTACTACTGCCACTGCTACTGCTACTGCTACTGCTACTGCTACTGCTACTGCTACACCTACACTGCTACTGCTACTACCATTGCTGCTACCACTGCTACCACTGCTACTACTACCGCTACTGCCGCTGCTGCCGCTGCTGCCGCTGCCGCGGCTGCTGCTGCTGCTGCTGCTGCTGCTGCTGCTGCTACTGCTACAACTACTACTGCATACCATAGTTACTGTTACTTACTGCATCATTGTCTCCGGCAAAAGTGGTGTTACTGCATGTTTTCCTCACTCTGCCAGTTTCTCTGACTCCTAGTGTTGCTTCTGCCGTGACGGTTGTGCTGGTGGTCTTGGCTGTGGTAGTGCTGGTGGCCGCAAATGATTTAGCGATGCGCCATTTCGTTTGCTGCCGGTTCCATGCTGTCACTCTCGCTGAATGACCACGGCTTGAATGCAACCCCTTTCGGCCTTGATCCGTGCGGTACCGATACAAACAGATATCGACAGCGTCCCAGGAAACGCTCGTCGACGAGCTCTACATGGACCGCCGTGGACCCCTACTAAAAGCCCATCCGATGTTCAACTTCTTGTTCGAGGTTTCCCCGAAGGCTCAGAAAAGCAGTTGGATCACGCTTAGGAGCACCCTGAGCTCTCCCCCTCAGCTAAGGTTGGGTTGTGGGGTTGCTGTTGTTGGCCAGGCTGTCACACGGCTCTGTGGTCTTCTGAAGTTGAACATGTTTGAGGATGGAGAGTTGATCTTTGCCCGGTACAGCCAAGCCAAGGGCATGTACATTGCCTGCACAGGCACCTACATGCTAAGTCTGGGTGGGAAGGACAGCAAAACCACCGTTGACGGCTTTGAGTTTTATGCTGAGATCAGCTTGTTCATGAAGTTTTCACATTCCATGTCGCTCTTGAGCATCTCGTTCAATGATGTGTTCTTTCTCGATCCCATGCAGCTGGCAGACTGCTTAAAAGATTTCCCAGAGTGCTGTGGGTTCGTATACCAGTACGCAAAGACAATGCAGAGTGATCTCCATAGCGGAGCGTTTGGTGCCAACGACGTGATTCCCTTGGAGAGTGTACTCTCCCTCCGTGAAAGCACTGATGCATACAAAATCTTGAACATCTCCGAGCGGAAGACTCTGGAGAAGTTCGTAGTGCCTGCGTGTGACCAGGCAAAGGAGTCCTTCTCTCAGTGGTTGCAGAGGTTCTTGAACAAGACAGACCCCGAGAATGTAGCAAGTCGGTACCACATGCTGGCGGAGCTTTCGCGCTTCTTCCCAGAGCTCGAAATGGAGAATGGCAGCTATTCGGCATTCGTGGATGAGCCTGCCATTCATCGAGCTCTATCCTGCATGGCCAGTGTTCTCTGGCTGGTCAAGGACCGAGAAGGCAGGTTGAAGGCAGAAGGCAGGGCTTCACTTTTTTTGTTTCGGGGTTTCTGGGAGGGCAAACTGTGGGTTTTTAAATTCCGACTCTGCCAGGACAGTTTCGACGAGTTCAGCCGGCCGCAGAAGTCCGGGGATAAGATGCCCCTGGAGATGTGGCAACGGCTTCAAGAGTTTGTCCGATGGACCGGGGTGAGGTCTGATGTGAGCAGCCTCTACGGGACCTTCGTGCTGATTGTAGCCAGGGGGTTGTCGAAGTCGAAGCAGCTTCTGTGGCAGTTCCCCGAGAAGCATCAGCAGCCGGATGCCGCCGTCACCCACATGCTGCGAGCCCGCCACAACGTTTTACCCAGTGCTGCTGAGCTGGACTTGGACATGCGGACCGTGATGTGCAAGGTGTCATCCCTTCATCAGGTCTTTGCCATTGGCCAGTTCATGCAAGGGGAGAACACACCCCTGAACATCCGGAACTTGCAGGAGGAGCTGAAGATCGAGTCGGATCCTGCGGTTTTCAAGATCTTCCTGCTTTCGGAGTTTGCCTCGCTACTCGGGATCGGAGCAAGCTCCCGTACTTCCGGCTCAAGCTTCCTGAACAAGCGCACGGGTCGAACCGTCATCAGCAGTTTGCACGCCCTCCAACAGCTGGAATCACAGCCCTGTGTATCCGTATACTGGAACTACCTCTGTACCTGGGCTCGGACCCTGCAGCTGGCTTTGGACGAACCCGCGGACTTTGCCTTCGCTCGCCTGGCGTGCATCTGTCGGATGAACGATCGGAATCCGAGGCTGAAGCTCTTGTATCTGAGCTGGGCGAACATGAACCAAGCGGACAGGGCAGTCTTGACGGACTTCTTTCTGGCAGACGGTATTCGAAATCATGCATGCGTCTTCAGCTATTTGCCAGCATGCTTTGACAACGCTCAGAAAAATCCGGCAGTGGGCTTTGCCACTTTTCTAGACCTTTTGGTCGAGCTTGTTGAGATCATTTGGATGCAGATGGAGTCGAATGCCACACCGCGCCAGCCAGTCCTGAACCTCTTTGACCTTGCGGCCTTCACGGGCGTTGTTCGCTCACGGAGTGTGTTCTGCTCCTGTCTCGAGCACACTAAGATCCTGCACATGCCGAACGGCGACATGCAGTTAACGATGACCAGCAAGTATCCCGGTCTGGAATTTAGCCAAATTTGAAAGTATGCAGCGAGAGTGAGAGTGGCTTTGGATGAATGTGTTTTAGTTTGTGTTCTGTATCCTCCCCAGACTGTCAGGAACTGGTCCCGGACGGAAGAAGCCACAGACCATCCGATCAGCGTTCCCAGCTCTTTGCGGCAGTTGGTGCGGCGCCAGAACTTGCACTCCAGGATTGTGATCGAGGTGCCGTTAAATCCCACCTCGGAGTCCATGGAAGAAGAGCACAACGCCGTAGTATCCTCGCAACTAGTGTAAGGCGGTGTGACTGCTCAGATAAAACTTCTTTGAGCGCAGAAGGCTGCGCCCATCTCATTAGTACGTAGGTTGTGTCCAGTTTAGTCGTAGTGTTGTAGCTGTGCCAGTCTCTCTTGCAGATGGGATCGTGGGGCTGCCTCTCCGAATGCCAAGACACAAGATGTGAATGGCAAGGCGCCCCACCTTTCCCTCTCCTTTCTTATACGACTGTGCTCCGGAGAACATTTAATCCAAATTCTTTGTCCTGGCTTTGGTGCGAAGCCCTGTCTACGAAAGTAGTGGAGATCGCACCTGCAGAGTTTTGTACGATTCGCCATCACATACGCAATCTGCTGATGCAGACGTTGCCTTGTGCCAGAAACAGCGCGAAGAGCCGAAGCCCTTCCCTTTGTTTTCAAAAGGAGGAACTAAGGGCGAAGATGATGTTGGCATGTGTTGGCTGTTGCGATTGTTGTTGATGGTTATGACTCAGTTATGACAGTGATGGCGATGATGAGGAAGATTGGGTGGCGATGGTAGTCGCGATGGAGATGACGACGGGTTGCTATTGCTACTGACAGTGAGCAGCGATGGCATCCTCGTTACCATAGCTGTTGCTTCCATGGGCCATGATGACGATGATGATGATTATGTTACCGATGATGGTCTTGATATTCCTGACGTGTTGTTTCTGTGGTGTGTTGGTCGGTCGGTCGACTCGGGTGCATTGTCATCGTTATTATTGTCGTCACTGCAGTCGTGGTGGTGCTCATCGTAACAGCAAGAGCAGCAGCAACAGAACGAGGAGGTCCTCCATGCAAATGCGACCGAAACAAACCGAATAGGAATAGCCGATGCAAGAATTTCGCTAAGCCGATCTTGCCCACCTGCCCGCTTGAAGAGAGAGTGCTTGTGTGCTGCGCGGTGCTTCTTGCAGCCCAGCTGCGAAGGCAGTGCTTATCCGTCCCCTGGCCCGACTGCTCATGCTGCCCATGCTGTGACACTGCAGTCTTGTTTCATATTTATTAGAAGTGGTTTTTGGTCCTCGAACAGTGTGGCACACATATGTACACACTATGACACTCTGGGGTTCCAACGTTCCGGGAAAAGAGGGGTGCATGGTCGCGGCACCCGCGGAAAAAAACACGTTCCTCCGGACCTGGCTCCCGGTGTGAAGCCGTGCACATTTTGCTACTTACGCAGAATCGCGGTGGACACGGGTCTCCGGGAGGCCAGATCCATTGTAAACTCCAATGCATGCGACGCTTGTTGGGATCGAAAACTCTTGGAAAGCATTCTGCCCATCCGGAATCCGGCCAGAACTTGGGGGGAAAGCACGGAGTTTGGTCGTGCTCCCGAATCGGGCAAAGCATGTTGGCCGTTCCAGTGAATCCCAAGAAGACCGTTGGGAAAGCAGTTGGGCGGTGTCCTGGTCATCTCCTGGGCTCTCCTGTGGTTTCCCCGTGCTTTGCTTGTCGTGTTCGTCCCAATCGTAGGTTGTTTTGGTGGTCGTTGTCGTCCTGGTCAAGATGCGCTGTCATGGTCTGGGGATTTACTGGCACGGTCGTGAGAAGCAGCACAAAGGCCGAAGAGGCGGCCCAGTTCATTAAGGAGGACAAGGAGGCCCGAAGACAGGAATTGCATCCCCGTATCGGCTTTTTGGCCGACAGCCGTCCTCAACTTATCTCTGATCTTCTTCATCATCGGCTTCCTAGAACCCTAGCGCTAGTCCTCGTAGACGGCTCGAGCATCTTGGCAGGCATCGGCCTCATCGTCCCCTGCACCTCTCTTGGGAGTAGCACCTGCGCATCCGCAGGCACGCATGCGCAGTGAAATTTTCTCGGGATCGGCGAAGCGCTTCGATGTAAGGTCGACGAACGGTGTAGAATGGGATTTCCTGAGGAACAGGGTTGGCTTGGAACTGAAGACTTGAAAGATCGGATTCATCGGCAACTGGTGGCATCAAGACCGACATGTCCAAATGCCACGGTCCTGGTCCCCCACATCCTAAACCCTAAACCCTAACCCCCAAGTGGGCCATGTGGGCCAGGAGCCCGAGGAGCACCTTCCCTGGCCTGGCTCTCAGATTTTTGACCTGCCTCCGGTCTGGTGCGCGCCAGATGTGGTGAGGTACAGTGATTGATCAGGGTCGCACCATACGGTAGGCTGCTTCATGCCAGACATCACGGACAGTGCAGAGAATAATGTACAGCACGGGCCATGGGCCTCCTGACAGAACATAAGGTGGGCATTCCTGGTGATTGGGTTAGCCATGGCGCTGGCTTCGTCCGTCGCGCTCGTGCAGGTGCTCTACCGTGCCAGTGTCAGAGACACCTCACCTGTTGCCACATGACCGTGCGAAAATCTAGGATTCGGTAGTTGTGATAGGTCTTTTTAATCAATGTATGTGTGGGCGATGTCACGACGAAGAAGAAGCGGAGTTGAATGATGATGATCATGGTGACGATGGCGATTATAGTGAGGATTCATGCTGATGGTGATGGCGATGCTGGTGATGTTGTTGATGATGACACGGGTGCTGGCGGTGGTGCTAGTACTAGTAACTAGTACTAGTACTAGTGCTAAGTACTAGTGCTAGTACGAGTGCTGCTGCTGCTGCTGCGCACCACCGCCGCCGCCACCACCACTACTATGGTGATTCGCATTTCTGATTTACGACCAACCAACAGTCGGCATCAAGCAGGCAATCAAGCAGGCAAGCAAGCAAGCAAGCAAGCAAGCAAGCAAGCAAGCATCATCGCTGCTACTGCTGGTGTTGATGTTCTTGTTGGTGGCCCTATGTCGCCAGCAAGACCTGTCAGTCATCAGTGGGTTGTGATTTTCAGCAAAGGCAATTCTGAACTGTTCTCATTGCGCTTATGGTTCTGGTGCAACCTCAGAAGCGCCCACGTCATGTCTCAGGCTGAGGCCACAGTCTTTGAAGCTGTTTCCAGTGCAGTAGCCAGGCTATGGAAGGCGCTCAGAAGTCCTGGCGCCGCAAGCAAATGAACACCGGCACGGTTCCCAGAGCGTTGGGACTGGAACTCATCTTCTTGATTACAGCAGCACAGCACTGCAGCACCAGCAGCAGACCAGCGATGCAATTGACGCGGCTCCTTGGGTGTCTCTGCCTCGCCTTCATGTTTCAGACGGACAAAAATGAGACCCAGAAGTCCGACTCTGGCCCTGATTTTGCTTGGAGACATCGGAGCAACCGAGGCAAAGCGTCGGAGCTCGACGAAGATATGGAGGACCCTCTGGAACCCCGCGAAGATATGGAGGCCCCGAGTTTGGCAGAAGGATCAGGCTCTGGTTTCAGTGCTCTCCGGTGCTTCGAAGAGCTTCAGAATTTGGGGTACGAAGTCCGCTGCAACGGCCGTTTTGCTTGGGCACCGAATTCAGACTTGAGGTCCTTCTGCCTCCTCAGCCGATGGCGTCAGCCCGGAGCCCGCTAGCTGGAATCCCAGAGCGGGAGCAAACTTGGCCGCAGCTGTGTAGGATCTCACAGAACGCATAGCGCAGACTTCTAGCTACGACTCAGTGGAGGTCGGTAAGCGATCTTGCAGAAGACATCTGTCGTCCTGCATGTCCAATCTGTTCTTGTCACTGAGACCCATTCAATGAAGCGGCGCCCAGGTTTTCAATAGTCCCTCGCCATCGAGTGCGGAGGCGTTCGACAGTTTGCTTTGGCGCGTTCCACACATGCAACCAGTGTCTCAGTTATGTTTAAAGAAGGGCGTCAATGGTTTTGAGTGGTCCGAAACTGCTGGACTTAAATGACGAACTCATCGATAGCCTCAATCAATATCACGGTAGCACGGACGAAGGTAGCAGAGGTTGTCTTCATCACTAGCCATCATACAGTAGTATCTCGGAGTACGACATCCTGTGAGAAACAGTAAGAAGCGTAGCGGCGCCATATGTTACATTATATTATATTATATTATATTATATTATATTATATTATATTAATATTACATTATATTACATTCTGTTACAATATATTACATTATATTACATTACATTACATTGTATTACATTACATTACATTGTATTACATTACATTACATTACACTGTACTAAAGTATATTGCATTATAATACATTACACTACATTGTACTACATTGTATTTCATTTGATTGCAGTATATTACATTGTACTAAATTATATTACAGTATATTACATTTTGTTGCTTCATATTGTTTTGTGTTATACTGTATTAGGTTAGAATATACAATGCTATATCATGTGTCATTATATTCCATTCAATTACGTTATATGATAGGATACTGTATTTTGTTGTGTTTTGTTGTATTGTACTGTATTGCATTCTATACTGTATATCGTTGTACAGTGCATGTTGCAGGTTCAATATTGGATGTATACAATATATATATATGTACGAACATACTACATCATGTATCGTGCGTTGTATTTAATATCTTTCATCTTATGTCTTACACTGTACATTGTATGTGGAATTTTCGATAGTATATTGAACTGTTTATCTTAAAAAGGTATACACACACTTATTTATGTATGTATGTATGTATGTAGGTAGGTAGGTAGGTAGGTAGGTAGGTAGGCAGGTAGGTAGGTAGGTATGTGAAGTTTAGTACAGCAAAGAATACAGTGTATATGTATAGTATGTACCATATTATATACACTATGTCGTTTTGCTATAAAGTTTGGTTCGCTTGTGCTTCGTGCCACCACATTTTCTAAACAATCCGGGTTTAGCTTCGATCCTGCTGTAATCCGCCTCTTGGGGATCTCACAGAGTACGCAACCCTCAGCGATTGATCCTATAGTATGTGCGAAAAGTATTATATTCTGTGTTATTATATTCTTCTCGAGCATCAGCATATATTATATATTTGGAAGTGTGTATTCCGGAGTGGGAGCCTGGGAGTGCGTAAAACACGAAAAAAGCGCACNNCTCTCACAGTGTCCCGTTTTGTATAGATTATATTGCATGATACTATATCATCATCACCAAGAAGGCAGCTCGGAGTTGCAGGCTTTCGCGCGTGCTGCCGGTAGCGTCTCGACTCCGATTGCGCAGCCGGTGATCCTGCCAAAGGTGCCCGGCGTTCCGTCTCGGGTGCAACGGGAACACCTGGGGGCGGGTGCTCTGATCCGAATGTGTGTCTAGCGAATGACTACACTTCACAGCTAAATCTTTGCGCGGCAAAGGATCATGTGCCACAGGCTTGATCTATTCGGGACCATCAATGCTGGCAGATGTGACAAAAGCTGTCATTTGCCGATGCCAGGCAGTTCCTAGCCCCAGCAATTGGAGACCCAACGCGGGCCCGGTGGTGCAGGCGCCGATGGGACCTCCACTGACAGTGTAGCTCCTGGCAAGCAGCATGCTCACAGGCACCTGATCCCCCGCGCACCCACATGCCTGTGAAGGTCTTCTATTCGACCTCGCCAGTGGCCTCCAGCTGAGTCCGAAAGTGCTGTGGACAGACGAGTGGCCGTACACTCCTCCGGCTCTCAGGTCAGTCCATCGAAGCGCTGACTCCTGGTTGCCCGGGAAAAACCTGTCTCTAATACCATACCACCGTTACCAAGTCTGACCAAGAAAGGAAGTCAGAGGCCATTCCTGATTGCATTGCATTTATATTCCCCAAATCCAGCATAATGTGTCGACCATCGTTTCAGATCTAGGGGGCCTACGTGCGGTGTGTGAGCCCTTCTGACCCCTGCCTCGGCACCATGGGTCGACCGAACCCAGCTGGAGCCCTGAAGTACACGCACAGATTCTCCACGCACTTAATAACTTAACATTGCACTTGTCCGTATCCGTATCCATATCCATAGCATCTGCCTGTCCTTCTATCCCCATCTATCTATGTGTACGTACACAATGTATTGAATAGACAAGTTTGGCCAGGGCTCTACAAGCCTCCGGTGCTTGGGGCAGGGACGCGGATCTTCAAGTCTCCCACCTCTGTTCTGTTGGTTGTGACCGTCGTGTAAATAGGGGCCCAAACGAGCATACAAACACAAGGATCCGACCTTCGTGCTCTAGGGGGGCCCCCAGAAGCGGGATTCGACACAGGCACATTCGAAGGGATCCTGGTGTTTTGTGCCTTTTTTGGGACCCTGTCAGTTTCGATGCATGGCTTGGACGCCGCAACCCCGTCGACCGCCTCGGCACAGCGAAACCAGCTGAGCTACGATGCGGAAAATGCAGTCACTTGCATCGCTGCGGGGTTTGGTTAGAAGGCATAAATCTTCGTTACACAGTTTAAAACACATAAAATTTCCATCACTTTGCAGCTGCTCAGGCAGCAGTGCGCTGTCAAAATGTCGTATGGCTAGAGTTTGTTTGCACTTCCTCAGATTAGCTGGAGACACATTGCCCATTATGAGATGGTGTTGTCTTTCTGGCGTGTTGTTGCGCACTTGCATGCGGTCATAATATGTGATTACGAGTAAAGAACGACGCGACGTAATCCTCTACAGTGTTGGAAGCTGTGACAAAGATGTGTCTGTGTATTGCCATCAGTGTTCTGAGCTACTGAGTACTTGTCACAAACATAAAGGTAACGGTAAATGGTACATGAGTCTCGTGTAATCTTCTAGGTTTTTGTCATACCTGCATGGCATCTAGTTTCCAACATGCTATATAGCCTTATATAATTTGTTTCTTACAGCTCGTATATCAGATGTTGATGATGCAAGTACATCTTTGCAGACGTTCAGTGCAATATACGCTATGTTGCAAACAGCTATGCGTGATTGCATGCTAACGCTGTTGTCACACGGTCCTACCTGCCTCAGTATGCACTACCGAGTCCTCGATGATTCGTTTTTCAACATCAGACGGTCTATACCGCGATTTTACAGCAGACATGATTGCAACAAGGTCCGGCCTTCAAAGAATAAATAGCTCACTCTCTCAAGCTTTGGAGGTTGAAGTTACCAGTATCATCTTGGTGTGGGTCCAGTGTGGGGGGCCTTGTGACTGAGACTGGTGTTGCTGATTTCGGTGTTGTGAGGGTACTTGGGTACTCTTGCATTTACGACAACGATCTCAAACTAGAACATCGTCTTGATCGTGACGGCGGGCAGATGAAAACGGCGAACCTGGACAACTTCGATGCGATTCACGAGGAGGTTGCGAAGGTTATGGAGAAGGCACCGCTTGCCGAAACGTACGACGTCATACGGCTGTCGGTCTGGCTTCGTGGGTTGTATAATGTATGTTCTGTTTATACGCATCCATAGGTACCTAGCTTCTGTAGAAGCCACAGAAGGTTCACAGTCGTGACTATGTCTTGATATTTCAGCATGTGTTGCGTACTCTGTAATGTATGATCGCGTTTAGGAATGTTTCTTGTGATCTGTTCTTCTTGCATCCGACATTTCCAGTAGTTGCTCTAGACCTAAACCTGAATCGCTCAGAATCTCCAGGAGCTCGACAAGTGCGGATCCATGAAGATTATGATTCAAGGGGAGCACGACAAGGCGGGCAACAACTTGATGGGGATTTAGGATCATAGTAAAGGAGAGTTAGTGCATCGTACTAGACATCGGGGTGTCCTTCCACAGGGCTTCACGCAAGCTGAACCTCTCAAGTGGTCTGGACACCGGTGCCAGGGCTGGGAGCAAGTGAAGATGCGGATGGAGCAACTTCAAGCTGCAAAGCAGAAGATCCAGGAGATGGAAGAGAGCACATGCCTAGGTTGCAGTTTCTGGGGACGTGGAGCCTTTTTCGACCCTGCCTGTCCAGATTGCAGTCGATAGAGTCGCACACGCTTTCAGGACAAGAAGAGTGTCCATGACAGTACCCGGTAGAAAACGTAGTAAAGACAACAGCAATAGGGGCATTGGGAAATGCTGCTGTAGACAGCGGCATATTATGTACTCTATACCGTAGAATATATCTTCTATGCTATGCATTATACATGATCTGTTTTGTTTTATACATTATGTTCAATCATATAGTTCATCCTGCTCGGGCTAGGGCTCCAAGAGTGCATCCGGACTTGTTAGGGCAGTTGTTCATCGGAAGTTGCTATTGTTGTGATGATGACGGGTCTTCTTGGGAGTTTTTATAGCGAATTTCAAGAATTGCCTCGCTGACAGGAGCAGAAGAGAGCGGCAAAGGCAAGACTCTCATGTCCATCTTTGGGGTTTGAGCTTAAGGGTGTGCCCTCAAACCCAGAACCTTATCATCACATTCGTGCGTGTGTATCAAGCTTGCCGTGAGAGTCTGAGGATGACTCTTGCCTTGGTAGGAGAAGGCGGAGATCCATGTGAAGGACGATGACCGCGAGCCACCACTATGAGTATGATTTGCGTGAGTTGCAGCATCGGTTTCGGCTTCGGTTTGGCTTCGGTTGAAGTTGTTGGGATCAGGACCAGTATCCGTGCGATTTCTAGTCAGTAAGGCGGTGATGCAAGCTTTTCTTATGCTCTGATCGTGCGGTCTTGCAGTGCTCGTGTTTTCTTGCGTTCAACATCAGACCCAGTTGTTTGATCAATCTACTACTGACTGCTACTACTCCTACTACTACTACGACGACGACGACGACTACTACCACCACTACTACCACTAGCTGCTCCTCCTCCTACTAGTACCACTACTGCTACTGCTACTGCTGCTGCTGCTGCTGCTGCTGCTGCTACTGCTATGCTACTACTACTCTACTCCTAGCGACAGTAGTAGTAGTCGTCGTCGTCGTAGTAGTAGTAGTACTCTCTACTACTACTACTACTACTACTACTACGACTGCTACTACTACTACTACTACTACTACGACTACTACTACTACGACGACGACGACGACTACTACTACTACTACTACCATTATACTGCCACTGCTTCTGGTGCTGCTACTACGACACCACGGCTGCTACAATGCTACTCCTCGTGCCACTGCTACAGCAACCCAGCAACTACTTATGATCAGAAGCAGTCCTGTTGTCAATGTTGTATATCTATATAGTATCGTGTATGCGCATGCATCTACATGTGCATATTGTGCATATTAATGTTGTATATATATACATATGTGTATGTTTATTTAATTCATTTGTACATATATGTTTGTACAAGATACGCAAGACATAAAAAACTTGATACATACATATATGACGTGTATATATACATATGTATATATATATATACACACATATGTATATATATATATACAAATGTAAAGGCATTCAGACGCCAACACATGATGTAGCGGCAGCTATGTCAAACTGGATGGTTGCGCAGGGCCCCAAGCTTCGCTGTATTTCTCCTCGGGAGTCCGACATGGCAGCGACTCATACCTCATAGATCACAACTTGCATGAATCTCTCGCATTCTGAAATTATGATCGCGTTCTACGGCGTCTGGTCTCAAACCCTCCGAGCCAGTTGGAAGCACGACTTGGCCTCCGGCTAAGACATGAAGGCTCGTAGCAACATGCCTGTCAACCGGGACGTTGTCGACAGGAGCTCGATGATGCCGTTGCCGCAGCTGAGGCATGGGAAAAGGATCTGCACTTGCGGCTAGGGCTTCAGGCGTCCAATCTGAGAAGCACCGTTCTCAAGATAATGTGTTGGTCGCTTGTGTGGGGTGCTGTAGCTTTCGCAAGCAAGAAGCGGGCCGGCACATGCTGAGTGGGTTTGCGTATACTTTCCAGCCATGACGGCAGCATCCTACCCATCATTGCTGGGTCGCGGAACATCGTAAGCCTGAAGCCCAAAGCCCTGCTTCAAATCCTAAACCCTGAGCCTCGTGCCAGAACTCCTACACCCGAAACTCTAAACACCAAACCCTAGCTGAAGTAGTCTTGAAGTCTGAATCTGTGGCCCGTGGTCTTCTTGCACAGGCTGCAGCCGCGGTCCTGAAGGAAGCCGTAGAGAAGCTCACTGCCGAAGGGGCAGCCTGGTACCCGGTCATCCATGCTATTGAATAGTATATATATATATATTTATGTGTGTGTGTTTCCGAAACTGTTGCGTCAAGTAGCTTGTTTTGTGGAGCTAGGTTGCATTGGAGCTCTTGGATGCCCCCGATGTCCTCTAAGGCGGTCGTCTGTAGATTCTTGCAACAGTCTAGCTGTGTTCGAAGCGCCCAAGCCCCGGAACCCCGAATCTCCAAAAGCCCACAACCCTGAATCCCGCAACCCCAAACCCTCGAGCCAAAAGCGTCCTGCGACCCAGGAGAAGTTCAAGTTGGAGCAGGCTGGGGTCGATCACTGCCTCCGCGGCGGATCAATTGGAATGGAGAGCCATAAGCGTGTTTTTACAGGAGCTGCATCGCGGGTGTAGCCTCTGCGCATTGGTGGCCCTTCTGTCTTGGCTCAAGCTTTGCCAAGCATAACCGATGCAGCATCAGAAGAAAACAAGTTCCACCAAACACCATGTGACATGCAAAGCAGCTCCAGACACAAGCAGTGTGTGGGTCTTTCGGTCGATTGCCGTGGCTCCCCAACCAAGTGTAACAAGTGCAAGAGAAGCATTCTAGTAGCTGTGGCAGCAGCACGAAACGTTCTAGTATCTTACTTGTGCACCAGAGTCCTAGAAAATCTCGTTGTGCTCGCCGCTGAACTCCTCGACGCTACGGGCCCGGGCCTTCGTGCTCTACCGTGTACTGTACTTCTCAAGCTGCACCCATCATGTTCGGCATGGCGCCCCACTGTTGCATCTGTTGCTTGAGATTGCATGTGCTCTGTGGAATCACGTGCGCAGTCGACTAGCAAGGCTCGCCGAATCAAGTCGGACTGTTGCGCGACTTTGGCGAGCGGGACTGTAGTTGTAAATCAACTCGATAACGAAGATACGTTTGACATGAGTCGAGATTCTCGAGCACATTCTCTCCCACCAACTGCTGTACCAATGCAGACGGAATCATATGCAGTGTCTGCAGCTCGCGTTGCTCTGTGCAAGCTTTCCCCCGCAAATCCACTAAATATGCGGGCGCGTATATATCTCCATATCGCATGTGTATGTATGTGTACATATGTGTGTATATACTTACACACACACACACACTCATAAACACATATCTATCTACACACGAACAAGGCAAACTTACACCCGCGCACACATGAATGTATGCGTGTATGTATATACAGGCATGCATACATTCATAGGCACGTGCATGCATGCATACATACATACATTCATGCATTCGTGCAGACATGCATAAAGACGGATTGAGGGACGGAGGGAGGGCATGGATCATTTCGCATCTCGATGACTAGGAGAGAGAGTGTCAGTCGTCATGTTTTGGGCTTGTGCTTTCAGGGTGCTTTGTGCTTTACCAGAAACTGCCAGCAACTCCTTCGTCGTTGAGGCCTTCCCCGGCGTCGGGGACATGTTGCCGCCTTATGTTCGCTTACGCAGTTGCACCCGGCAAGACGAGATGTGACAGACTGAAAGTACGCCAAACTTGTCTTGGGCACGGCGAATTCAGAGTCCAAGGCCTTCATTGAAGGAGAAGAAGAGCCACGACGCTGACGACGTCAACCAGCGCCGGGAGCGGAAGGTCGGCGGCAGACCCTCGGATTTCTCCGGACTGGCTGTGTATCTCGTGGGTACAGCCTCAACTCTACACTTCCACGACAAGGGCATCCTTCGCTCCCTGGTGCCGCAGGTTTTGCAACCTACTGACAACAAGGACAGGGCTTGGTCAGCCTGAGGGCAGCATGTCTTTGGGGGTCTACGGGTGGTAAAGCGTAGATTAGTATGATTGCCACGGTTTTCTGCACTGTAAGCATCACCAGTGGTGATGAGTATGCTTGTCACTGTCAGTATTCTCCGAGGTGGCGGCGAAGGTTCAGTCATGCACTGTGAACCTGCGTTACAAGCGCAAAGACATGTTACAGCACACCAGCATAGCTCATCACATGACATGGAGTAGTATAGCCGACAATAGCTGAAGCTAAGCTGAGGCAGAATACAGTGTGACGCTGCAATCCGCACGTAGTACAGCTCCGATTCCGCGGGCACTGGTGGTGTTGAGCCCGAACCCTGGCTAGGATGCGTGGGTTACTTGTATCCTAGTTACAGCCACCGCTTTGATCCGAGTGGGAAGTAAACATTCCGTTCCTCCCAAAACTATTCAAATGCGCAGTCCAAATTCCAACCCCTACACATCCTGAGCCCCAGATACTTGTAAGACATTTCCCATGGCTGTGGCGGATGGGAAGGAACCGATTAAAACCAAAAGATCCCGGACCCAACATCCACTCGGAGTCCCGGAGCCTAAACTCTGCGAGAAAGAAGGACGTGAACCCTCCCGCTCGGAAGCCAGACCGCTTGGACTACAGCAGGCAGGGGTGTTTGGGATTCAGGGTGTAGGATTTCCCGTCGATTTGGGCTGAAGGGTTGAAGGGCCTAGAGGTGAGAGATGCAAGCTTGAGAGAGCAGGGTTTACGGTTCACCTCTGAGGTTCAACGAAATCGGCGACGATGATCGGGATGAGCGCCTTCAGACCGGAGACGTGCGCCCGCACAGTGGCATAGTGCGTGGTGTTTCAATCAGCAAACTTAGCAAAGCTACTGAAATTCAGTTGCGTGCGTTTGTGTGGGCGCAGTGTGAGAACCACCAGGTGTCATGGGAAGAGTTGAAGAAGCACGAGAAGCAGCAGGCTCCGCGTAATTAAGAATATAGTTCATGCAACCACCGGTGAGGCTGCACGAACTCACATCTGAAGCCCTAAGCTACAAGTCACTGCGTAGTATTGGAGCAACAGCTTGGTCCTCGTGCAGGTGTTTGACGCACGAGAACAAGTGGACGCTGTGGGCGAGTCGCGTTTTTGAGCATGCTTCGATGGTGGCCAATCAGCGCGACAAGCGGGTGTTAGTGGGTGCTAGATCAGATCGTGACGATGTTCACGGCAAAGGAGACTTCTTGAGGGAAGCATGTCGGCGGCAAGTTGAGCCCCTGAAACTCTGCCAGATCATCGATCAGAAGCGGCGGGAGGAGGATGACTGGAAACGTCAGCTCAAGGACGATGCTGTAGGCAACACCTCTCGACTCAATGTAGACAGAGTCTATCGTGATTCGCATTCGTAGTCTCCGCATGTTTATTGCTTGGAGGCGTTCGAGGCCCTCTGTGCGTTGCTCAAGACGTAGCCCAGGTAGTCTTGGCGGTGATGGCGCTAGCGACTCACCGGGAGCAACCCTATTGCCATGCCGTGAAGCTCGCAGGAGAAGCCCTCCGACCTGTCCTGGGTTCAGGGTCGACACTTCGCCAGCTACGAGGCCTCGGGAAAAGGCTTTCCACCTCTGGGCAATAAGAGAGTGTCCCGGCATGTCTTAGGTTATTCTGGGATTCTGGGCGACAGAGAGGGCCAGGCTGAAAGATGCCGAGACGAAGCCAAGCTACTGCGTGTGAAGACGCAAAGCGCAAGTTGGCGAAGGAGACTTTTGAGTTCTCGCTCTGCGGACATGACAACAGCACCATGCTGTAAACAAAAGCAGAACGACAATTACGGAGGCTCGAACTGCTGCGTCTCCTCTCTTAACCTTAAGCCGGACTGCGAACTCCACCCTGGTCCAAGTGATGCCCTTCGAGGCTTTCTGCGTGGGCCGTGTGGAGTCCACCCTGAAGAAGCCGTCCCGCCCTGGCTTCGACCAGGAATGTCTGCCAATGATCGACGATGCCCTTCTCACTAGATACATAACTCCAGCGTGCCAAAACATCTCAAGATCATATCATGTATTGTCGTGTAATGCGATGTGGTATCGAAGTCTGCCTCAACTCTGGCAGTCTCCCAGAGATGCCCTGCAATGCTCTGCAATGCTTTGCATTGCTCTGAGCTCCCGTCGCCTCAAAGTGGGCCGGGCCAGGTCCGGCAATGAGGCGTTCAAGGCCGGCGACCTGGCACAGGCCCTGACTCAGAAGCCTTCACGGATTTTGTTTTTTTTCGGTTTTCGGGCTTCGAGTTTTGGATCTCGGCTCTCTGTGCGGGGATGAGCAGACCGCGTTGCAGGCCCAGGCAGACTGGGAAGCCGGAATCGGCATGTCGGAGGCTCAGGGCGCACGTGGGACAAGATGTTTCACACTAAGCAGCATTGCCAACCGCACTCTACACGAGGTCGAATACCGAAGCAGTATAATCATATGGCCCATTAAGGCAGCATCACAAGCAACAACAGAGGGAATCATACGCACCGAGCCAGGTATGTGTCAGAACTAGTCAAACCCCATTTTGCGTGCTTAACCTTTCATGCTTCAGCTTCAACTGCGCTTTTGCCACTCCCTGATTGCAAGAGCCAACAGTCAGTGCAAATCAAGATAGTGATGTGTCTAGCACCGTAGTGTCAGTAGTAGCAAAAGCACTGCTAATTACCACTGCTGCAGCTGCTCCTCCTCCTCCTGGCATTCTCCCACCGCTGCTGCTGCTGCTGCTGCTGCTGCTGCTGCTGCTTGAGACGAAACTGTGTCATGATTCATTCTCGTCTCACCGTCGACGGGGCCTTGAGATGGACTTCTTTGAGAGCTGTCCCTACCCTGAGGATCCTGGCGCTTGGGCAGCTTCCCGATGAAGCCATCAACATGCTCTGCACTCTCAGGCTGTCAGATGTGATCACGGTGTTCGCATGCCAGACGTACACGAACACACCGGCGTGTCTGGATGGTGTTGCTCTATCTCCCCCGACTAAGTCGACCGGCAATGCATTGATGACCACTTCCGGACGACACTGACATTTTTTCCTGGGATAGAGGTCCCTCTTTCGGAGTATTCTGAACTCTACCCTCTGCCTTCCCCGTAAGAACTCTGCGTAGTCCAGGAACAACCTGGCGCAGTTGCACATCAAGCGCGGCGAGTGGGGCAAGGCACGGGGCGCCGGCAACGGCGGCTTCCTAATTGAAAGATGCACCATCTGTGGAGCAAACAGCGCTTTTCCAGGCTTCCTGCGCTTCCTTCGCAGCTTTGCTTGTGATTGGGAGGTCAAGGACCTGACTGACAAGATCCTTGACAAGCAGCCTACGAATGAGAAGGCCTTGTACCGAAGAGCCCAGGCGGGCACAGCTTTGCTCCTGTGTTACTTTGGCGGTGCTGGCTCATCTGGAGAGGCCTTCTTCGCTTTCTCCTTGTGGGAGAAGTGCGAGGCGGACTTAGATGCTTGCTCCCCGGTCCTGAATCGGCTAAAAATTGTCGCGGTGAGAGATCAGCGATGTCTGAGGTCCTGCTGAAGCACAATCCCGACAACAAGGCGCCAACAAGCACAAAGTCCTTAATTAAGCACCTACGGCCCGATCGAGGGATTACCCCGCCTGACATCGCAGGCTCTCCTGCAATCTGTCCCATTGGACTGTTTTCAGATCTGTCTGTCTGTGTGTCCATCTACCTATCTATCTATCTATCCATCTATCCATCTGCCTATCTACCTATCTACCTATCTACCTGCTACCTGTCCACCTACCTATCTATCTATCTATCTACCTACCTATCTATCTATTTATCTATCTACCTATCTATCTATCTATCTATCTATCTACTTATCTATCTATCTGTCTTTCTATCTATCTCCAGCTATCTTCATCTATATCTATCGATGTCTGTCTATGTCTGTGCATGCTTGTCTGTGTCTGTCTATGTCTGTCTATGTTTGTCTTTCCTGTCTATGTCTATGTCAGAACATGTCGTACTACCATGTAGTACAGCATCGTCCAATCGGGTCACGCGACTGTCTCTGGCGTGGTCGGCATCAAACTGCCCTAAAACTTGAATCGGGAACTCTAAACTAGGCTCTAAAGTGCGAACCCTGAATGGAAAAGTTTGTGCCCGGAAAACGGGATTCTTCGAGGCAGCATCAGCATAGGTTAAGGTACGACAAAAAGACTGTGTGTCCGTCCGCAGGACGCATCTTTGATGCTGCGACAGGTGCATCAGAAGCTTGGCAAGGCTGGACCTCCACCTGAGCCTCCAAAGCAGTGGAGTAGGCTTTCCTGCAGTGATTCTTAAAGTATCTTAAAGTAATGCTATGTCTGCTCGAACTCGTGCCAAAACAGTTGTACGGTACTGTCACTGCTCAAAGGATGCGATGGCATGCTATGGCCAGGACCGCAAGAAGTTCGCCGGCAAGGCAATCCGACGCCAGTCAAGCTTGATCACCAGCGCGCATGGATCTGCTGTGTAGCACTGCATGTGCGACATGACTTTGTGGCATAGTATCAGACTGTACAAAACTTGTTCATACTATGATAGTACATCGCTAAAGCTACGCCGCATGCTCCACAGCAGTGGGAACTGTTCTCTAGCTGGATCGGATGAGTTCAGACTTGGCTTCCATGGAGAGGCCGTGAGTGACATTGCTGCGGGTCTTGCGGAACTCTGCCCTGATGGTACTTCTGCCAAGACTTTCGGCATTGCTTTGTTCTTGGTCCGAGCTTTGGACACAAAAGCGGCCAGGTACCGTCCGCAAACTTCGCATCGAGGAGTACGGAGAGGTTGCAGACATGTGTGAATCAAGCGACATTTCAATCATCGGAAACGCTGGAAGGGCGATCCCGATGAGCCTCCCAACTGGTTGCAGCCGCGCTGGCTGGAGAAAGGCTCCGAGAAGGCACTTCCTGTCCATGATGGCGGCGAGAACTAGTTCGGAAGCCACGGAAAGCAGAGACCATGAAAGGTCGTGGTGACTTGCCAGATGGTCATCACGTCGTTCGGAGGCGCCATGTAAACCGACTCATGTTCGCATACTGCACTAACATACATTTTTTGACCATCCATTGATGTCTTTTGTTGCACTTTTGATGTCCTACAGAATGTGGCTCTACTGTTGTTTCGTTGCTCAGACATCATTCGGAATATTATAGTGCTAAGTGACTCAACAATTGTACTGTACTAGTAATGATTGTGCTGTGCCGCCATTCCTAGTCTACCTTAGCCAGTGTCTTGCACGCCTGTGCCATCCTGCTAGCATATTCCTATGTCATATCATGGTACCTATCCTTGATAGTTTTTTGGCCGAAAAGCCATCATGTCCCGATGTGTTGGCACATGATCAATGCAATGGTGAAATGTTCATAGCGTACCGTTTAGGGTTGAGAACTCAGGGGTGAGGGTTGCGAGATGTTCGTAAGGTACCCTAAACCCTAAACCTTAAACCCTAAACCCCTAAACCCCTAAACCCTAAACCCTAAAACCCTACACCCTAAACCTTAAATCCTAAACCTACCTTTGTGGCGTTGTGTGGCGAGGTGAGGAGCTGTACAACAGCAAGGAGTACCGGCCCGGTGCCCGGAGCCTCACAGGTATCATACAGGTCCTAATATAGGTACAAATATGATATATAATGTATATAGTAATAGGGTTTAGTATATATCTATATTATATGAATTATATGTACGGTATACTATTCTCAGTGTACAGTTGTTCTGGCTGTTAGCCTTCTCGTCAATCGCGGCTGATGTGGCTGTGAGCAAGACTCTGCACCCAATCCTTCCTGAGGTCTTGGGAAACCCTGATTAAACACAGACCGAAATCATCTGCGGGCAGACCCGTGAGGCCCTTCCCGGAGACAAAGCAGGCACGGGACGAGCTCAAGGAGCGCGACAAGATCACGCATCAGCCGGCCATCCATCCCTCCCTCCATCCATACATCCATCCATCCATCCATCCATCCATCCATCCATCCGTGAAGAATCTCAATGTATGTATGATGCAGGGCTGCCACACCCCCCCTCCCCCCCCACCCCATGGTATCCCCCCCCGCCCC